CTATCACAAGAACCAAAATTTCAGTCCTTGCACCTAAACCTTCACCAAGAACCAACTTCCAGTTCTTATACCAACCTGTAGCCAAATTCCAGCCACAGAAATCGTGCCTAACAATTCCAGGCACTCACAGTACAACAAAGAATGAAAGAAAACGAAAGAGAAGAAACCAGAACAATCTAACCCGGATTATGCAGTCCTTGCAGCATGAGTTTCTTCACAAAAAAATGCAAAAATGCCTCAAGATTTAAATTTCAAAAATACCACAAAACTTGCACGGTTCTTTCTTGAAAAACTTCACTTATGATTGCTTGATTGATTGCTCAAAGGTCTTTCTAAAAGACTGAAGCAATCCTGCTTATATAGGATTTGTTCTAACTGCTGGTTTAATTAATATGTTAAAACAATATTTTAATCTCTTAAAAGTCTTGAATTAATATGTTAAAACTTCTTTTAATCTGTTAAACTATTCTTGATCATTTTTCAGATTTGTTTTAACTGATACGACAATGTTTCAATCGATTAAAACACTTTGTAAAAAATCCCTTAAGTTGATTTAATCGATTAATTCACAATTTAATCTATTAAAATTCTGCCAAATATTTTCATAAAATTTTCTAAGTGATTTTAACTGATAACAACAAGTTTTAATCAATTAAAACAATTAGCAAAAAGTTCCTTAAGTTGTTTTAATCGATTAAATCGCAGTTTAATCGATTAAAATTATTTTGATCGATCATATATGATATTTAATCAGTTAAAACTTATTCTGATCGATCATATATGGGATTACATCGATTAAAAAGTACTTCAAGTGGTTTTAATCAATTATTTCGAAGTTATATCGATTAAAATACTACCAGAACACTTTTCAAAACATCTTTAGTGATTTTAATCGATTATTTCGAAAACCTATCAGTTAAAAAATTGTTATATAAGTTTTAAGAACATTTTAATTGACAAAGCTCATATAATTTCAGTTAAAACAATTTTCTAAAAACAATTTAACTGATTACTTTTGTTTTTAATAGATTAAAAACATCTTTAGAGGCATTTTCAAATTTTTTCAAATGATGAAACCTTATGCAGCAAAGACATATGAATGATTATACCTATGTATAGATGCAGACTCACTAATCATTCTACCCTTTTAACCCAAGAAACCTTTGACTTCATCAGATTAGCCTTTGACTTCATCAAATTAACAAGATATTCGTTTTATCAAATGATTTAATAAGATCTTCATCACTTTCACCTTATACTCAATTTTCTTGCAAGTGCTCATTTCCAATGACTAAGTTAAGCAAACAACATGCAATCACAAGTGTTATATCACCTAAAAAATAAGTCATTTACTTTGAAGCATGTTATCAAACAGTTGGTGTGCAACAATCTAACAAATAGGTATGCATTCAAAGATTTAAGTCTAGCCATAATCACAGATCCCAACTCATGCTTAATTGCAACAACCAAGTGACCATTAAGATAGAAAAACAATGATACCCAAAGCAAGTAAAAATTTACACATAAGGCACCAGGAGATTTGAAACCCAAGGAAGATAAATTCACTATAAAAGTTTAAAACAATTCCAGCCTTGAGAATATAATGCAAGAGTAATCAAAAGCACAATAAAAAGTTTCAACTCTACCATAATTGCAGAAAACGCACAAATGAGACAAAAGGGAATGAACAGTGAAAGATGTGAAGATTTGAGAATTCCAATCGGTAGAAACTAGGCAAGATTACCCAATTTAGTTGGAAAAGTGTTTGGCAAAGTGAAATTAAGCACAAAAGGCGTGAAATGAGACAAAAATGGCTAGAGAGATGTGTGGGTTCAAAGAGAGTTTGGAGAGAAAATGAAAAAATTGACTAAGCTCATGTGTTTAAATTCAAAATCTGGGCACTTTCACTCAAGCGAAAACCGGTTCATTTAAGATTTGCTCGAGCGAGAAAAAAATAGAGAGGTTACACTAAATTTCGCTTTAGCGAAACCTTGGTCGCTTGAGTGAAAATGTTTCATTTGAGCGAAGAAAAACAAAGAGAAACAACGTAAATTCGCTTGAGCGAGTGGTTTGTCGCTTAAGCGAATATCAGTGAAATTTTACTCTCAAACATTATGCTTAAATGTAAATCAATCAAATTTAAAAATTATTTCTCTCCCTTGCTATACCTACTTGACATCAACTTACCCCAACCAAATATTGTTCACACTTAACTAACAATGCTATAAAAAATTTAAACTGCAAAAAGAAAACAAAACAAATGCAAAACATTGGGTTGCCTCCCAGGAGCGTTTGTTTAACGTCATTAGCTTGATGCTTGTTTGCTTCATGGTTCAATCAGATGAGTGATCAAGGTGAGTTTTTCAACTTCACCTCCTAGATAAGCTTTGATTCTTTGCCCATTGATTGTCCATGTTCTTCCTGTTTTTGGATCTTCCTATTCTACAACACCGTAGGGCTTAACACCTCTTTTAAAAAATGAATCTGACCATTTAGATTTTAATTTCCCAGAGAAAGCCTTAACCTTGAGTTGAACAGTAACACAGATTAACCTGGATGAAATTCTCGTTTCAAGATTTTCTTGTCATGATATGCCTTAACTTTCTCCTTGTACAACTTGGAGGATTCATATGCATTAAGTCTCATCTCTTCTAATTCATGCATTTGGGTTCTTCTTTTCTCTGCTGACGCTTTAGGATCAAAATTGAGGAATTTTAAAGCCCAATATGCTTTGTGCTCCATTTTCGCTGGGAGATGACATAAGTTGAAAGGGAGAGAGCTCAGTGAGAGATTTGTATGTTGTCCTATAAGCCCAAAGTGCATCATCCAGCTTCATTGACCAGTCTTTCCTTGAGACTGAAATAATCTTCTCTAGGATTCTTTTGATCTCTATTTGAAACTTCTGCTTAGTCATTTTTTTGTGCATGATAAGGTGATGAAACTTTATGCCTGACTCCATAATGCTCCAGACATTTTTGAAGTTGAACATTACAGAAATGTGAACCTTCATCACTGATTAAAACTCTGGGAGTTCCAAATCTGCAGAAGATATTCCTGTTTAAGAACTTTATTACATTTTTGGCATATGCTTTTATGGTTGTCACTACTTCCACCCACCTAGACACATAGTTAACTGCTACTAAGATGTACTCATTAGAAAATGAGACCAGAAAAAGGCCTACAAAATCAATTCCCCAAAAGTCAAATACTTATACTTCCAACATGATATTCAAAGGCATTTCATGTCTTCTTGAGATTCCCCCTGTTCTCTGACAATTATTACATTTTTGAAAATAATTGTGAGCATCCTTGAATAAGGTAGGATAGAAAAAACCAGATTGAAGAACCTTTGCAGCAGTCCTTACTCCATTAAAATATTCACCATAAGGAGAACTATGACAATGCTAGAGAATGCTTTTGGCTTCCTCATTTGTTACACATCTTCTTAACAAGTTATCACTTCCTATTTTGAAAAGATAGGGATCATCCCATACGAAATAATGTGCATCTTTAAAAAACTTCTTTCTTTGATGCCAAGTAAAATCTTCTGGAACAACCCCAACAGCTTTGAAATTTGCCATATCAGCAAACCATGGCCTCTCTTGCACCATCATCAATTTTTCATCAGGACATTCCTCCTGCAATTCTAACTGGTTGTTAGTCACTTCAGTATTCTAATCTAGATAGATTATCAGCTACAAGGTTTTCACTGCTCCTATGGCATAATCACTAGCATCACACATTAATTCAAAATCTAAATTCCAATCACGAGAAATTATTATAAGAGGTAAAATCAATTTTTGTTTCAACTGTGCAAAAGCGTGCAAACATTCAACATTAAAATTAAAAACAATATCCTTATTGAGCAAATTGCTGAGTGGCTTGGAAATCTTTGAAAAGTCTTTGATAAATCTTCTATAGAACCCAACATGTCCTATAAATCTTTTGATGTCCTTCACATTTGTTGGTGGTGGTAATCTTTCAATAACCTCCACTTTCACTTTATCAACTTCAATACCTCTGCCCGAGATTTTATGACCCAGTACCACACCTTCAGTTACCATAAAATGACATTTCTCCCAATTTAGAACCAAATTGGTATCAACACACCGCTTCAGTATGATATTCAAATTTTCCAAACAATGATCAAGTGATGCACCAAAGACTGAAAAATCATTCATGAAAATTTGCGAATTCCTATAAAAGGGGGGGACTTTCTCACTCTTTTTACACACTTCTACAAATTTCTCTACTGTACTATTATCAAATTACTCTCCTAGGACCCCTCTGAAGCATTTCCAAAGTTCTTAGAGTTCTTAGAAAATCGTTCTAGAGTGCTGCGAGAAAGAGCGATCATCATTGTAGAACATGCAGTTTGCCAAAACGTGCCCTCTTTCAAGAACATATATAAAAAGTTTGCTTCGAAGGTTCCCCCATATTCCTTTCTCTATTTTATTGCTTTTTAGATAATATCATTGTGCATTAGTCATTTAGGACCATGTAGTCGATAACTTAATTTCTGCAATGAATAAATAAGGGTAAAAACGCAATTTTATAGTTATTATTTCTTTAAAAAAAATGGTCCATCATAAGGAACCCGAAAGGGGCGTCGTAGGGAAGCTAATACCTTCCATACACGTAACTAACTCCCTTACCTAACTCTGGTTGTAATGACCAAAGTTGGTTTTTTCTTTAAAAAACCACTGCCTCTTTTCCTTTTCCAATGTTTCTGGTAAAAACATTGGTGGCGACTCCTCGAACCTTTCGAAAACCTCGCCCTTAGGTCTAGTCCGGTTATCGGACAACCAAAAGGCGTTGAACCACATTTTTAAAAATGTGAGTCAAACAAAATCATCGCGTCGCTCCGACCGCCTCTTTTGACGGCGGCGACAGGAACTTGTGCTGAATTGGCTTCTCTTGAAGTTGGGAATCAAGTCCATTGCTTCAGTGTTAAAAGTGGGCTAGTGGTTGATGTTTCTGTCAGCAATAGATTGATTGACATGTATGCAAAGTGTGGATCACTTAAACAAGCTCGATATGTTTTTTATTCAACCCAGAACCCAGATATTGTCTCATGGAGTAGTTTAATTGTTAGCTATGCTCAGTTTGGACTTGGACACGAGGCTCTAAATCTCTTCATAATGATTAGAAATCTTGATGTCCAGCCTAATGAGGTCACCTATCTACGGTTCTCAGTGCATGCAGTCACATTGGATTTGTGGAGGAAGGTTGGCACCTGTATAAAACCATGGAAGTGGAACTAGGTATTGCACCAACAAGAGAGCATGTTTCTTGCATGGTTGATTTGCTTTCTCGTGTTGGATGCTTGTATGAAGCAGAGAATTTTATCAAGAAAATTGAATTTGACCCTGACATTACTACATGGAAAACTCTACTTGCTTCTTGTAAAACTCATGGTAATGTTGACATTGCATAGAGGGCTGCAGAAAATATACTAAAACTTGATCCTTGCAATTCTGCTGCTCTAATTCTACTTTCTAATATACATGCTTATGTCGGCAATCAGAAAGAAGTTGCCATACTACGAAATTTGATGAAAGAAATGGGTGTACAGAAGATTCCTGGTCAAAGTTGGATAGAAGTTAAGGATCAGATCCACGTGTTCTTTTTAGAAGATAGTTCTCATTCACAAAGGGGCAAAATCTACATGATGCTTGAAGATGTATGGTTGCATATGCTCGATCATGGTTATGATCCTTGTCAGAGGTTAAGCATTAGCATTTAGTAGGCAGTCACCAATGGTTATAATCCTTCTAAAATCTATTCTGATTTTTTACTTATCCTATGAGTTAGTGACTCTTAATTTTGAAATGTAAAATCTTATCATTATTCCCATTTTATATTATAGTAATTAGGGATGGCAAAACGGGCAGCCCCGTCTTTGGCCCGCTAAAAGCGGGCGGGATGACCCGCCATAATTTAGAAAAAATAATTTATTTTTTAAAATAATTTTTTTTAATAAATTTAATAATAAAATTATTATTTGTTTGTCAATAATTCAAAAAAATATATATATATATATATATATTATTTCAATTTAATAATATAAATCAATTCATTATTTTAAGAAATTATAATTTAGAACAATAATAAAATTTACATAATAATAACTAATAACAAATATATATATATATATATATATATATATATATAAATAACGTTAAAACTTATAAAATTTATATTTTTTATAATGAGAAATTCAAATACCTATATCTTTTTTATTTGATAAAACTTCACATTATTCTTGGTTGATTAATTCTTACACCTTTAATTCAAGTCATAAGGATAAAAATAATAGTATTTAGGATGAACAAAGAGAACATGAGAGTGAAAGTTGTGTTTCAATAAGGAGAATATTTTATGTGGGAGTGAAATTTTTTAATTCTCTTTTTAAAAATTTTAACTTTATATATTATCTTTATAATTAATTTTATTACAATAAAAAATTATTTTTGTATTAATTACGCGGGTTGGCGGGTTTGGCGGCGGGCCAAAACGGGCAGTGGGCTGAAAACACCAACCCCCCGCCATATTATGGCGGACTGGCGGGCCGGCCCGCTGGTCCTGACCCGTTTTGTCATCCCTAATAGTAATTAACTGTTTTTTATTAGTGATTTATTGACATCTAGGTTGTATTGAAGTACCTATTTCATATATTCATGGCTATTTTGGCAACTGAAACTTCCTAATTCACGACTGCTGGTTTTGATTATTAGTTGTGTTACATTTCAATAAAAGTTGAATGTCATTTACATTTTGATACGTAAAAAAAGACAAGGAGGAATCGGGAATATATTTGTCCCAAGAGGTGTATACAAAGGAGATTTTGAACAAGTTTAAAATGATCGATCGTGATTCGGTATCAACTCCCATAGAACTAGGGACGAAACCTTCCAAATTTGATGGAGAAAACAAAGTTGATCCGAGTAGATATTGTTGTGTGTTGGGATTGCCAATCGGTGTATGGAGAGTCCGAGCTACTCTCATTGGAAGGTGTTGAAGCAAATTTTGAGGTATATTCGAGATCCAGTATCACTCGGACTACTGTACACAAGGTAGGATGATTACCGAGTTATGAGGTACTCGAACAGTGACTGGTGTGGAAAAGTGAATTATCGGGATAAAGGATGGAAGAAACTCGAGATGTTCGGGAAGATGACAAGTCGACTAGTAAGAAGCTTAAAAGTTTGGAGCCCGGATGTTTTGAAGGCCAAATTTTTTTTAAAATACAACAAGTTGATAATCAGGAGATTAGTCAAACCGATCTAGCAAATTGTCGATTTGGGAGGTCAGTATCAAGTCGATTGCATGTTATGAAGCACAAACAAGTGTTGAAGATAACAAGTCAGGTGATCGGTATCAAATTGATCTCAAGTTTTACTCGAAGAAAATCAATTTTAGGGGAGATTTTTGTTTGAATAAAATTAAATATTCAATTTTAAGAGTTTATTAAAATAAAAAAATAATACGAAGATAATTAGGAATTAGTTGAAATAATTTAATATTAATAATATTTTAAGTAATTTTTATTTGATTTTGATAATATCTTGGGACTATATATAAATACACGATTGTATGCTCCTTTAAGAAATGAGAATCAATAATATAGATGAAATTTTTTGTTATCAACCCAATCTGAATTATTTATTACTTTTTGTAATTAACAACAAATTAAATCTTTTGTGCTTTGACATGTAAAATTCATTAACCAACTCACTTCAACCGTCAATGTTAAAATATTATTTTATTTTATTCTCAATTGTGAGGAGAGGGGTATAAGGCCCAAATAAAAACGAAAGGAGTAGATCAAATGAGCTATAAAAGTTTGGGCCGAAAAAATAATTGTTTATAAAAGCACTTTGTGGAGTTGAATTTTGGTTTGGTTGCTTTCCATTAAAAGTTGCAAAACACATTACTAGCCGCAGTGAAGCCTAATAACGAACTGTAACATCGTGACTCGTTACAGAAACCCCTAATTGCTTTGTTTTCTTCCAATCCCCACTGGCACACGACTCGTCGTTTTTGTTTTTTGGCATTCGTTTCAACAGAAACAAGTTCGGCGCCGATATCGCAAGGTTTCAGGTACAAATCTCTCTCCCACTCTCTCTGTGTGTGTCTTCATCACATGCATGTTGGAGAAAGAAACTCAAGAGTCAGAAACGTAACACGTGTGTTACAAAAAAGGGAGTTGCTAAACTTACAACTCACACATTATATTTATATGAAGAGTAAACATGCAAAAGTAAAACAAAACTATACACTTCCCCTTAGTTCAAACTATCTAGAGATATTACACGTAACTTTTCCCTTAGCTCCTTAAACCTTTCTATCTTCAATGCTTTACAACACACTTAGTTACGTAGTTTGAATTACTACAACACAAGTCGTTACAAAACTCAACACTTCCCCTTAATTCAAACTATCTAGAGATATTACACATAACTTTTCCCTTAGCTCCTTGAACCTTTCTATCTTCAATGCTTTTGTAAACACATCCACAACTTGTAACTCAGTACTGCAATATATCAGTTCTATCTTTCCTTTCTTAACTTGATCTCTCAGAAAGTGATATCTTGTCTTAATGTGTTTGCTTCTTCCATATCACTTGATTCTTCTCAAGACTTATGGTTGATTTATTGTCAACAAAAAGTTGAACTGGCTTTTTGTACTCAATCTTCATTCCTTCGAGCAAAGACCCCAACCACAAGGCTTAGCATGCACCAGAACAGGCAACAATATACTCTGTCTCACATGAAGAAAGAGCAATAACACTTGCTTCTTTGAGCACCAAGATACAGGTGCATTCAGGAAGTGGAAGAAGTAACCAGATGTGCTTTTCCTTTCCACTTTGTCACCTCCCCAATCTGAATCTGTGTATGCCTCAAATTCTGCTTTAATTTGCCCTTTAGCTTTTGGGTATAAGAGCCCATAATCCTGGGTCCCTTTAAGATATCTCAATATTCGTTTTGTTGCTACCATGTGTGATACCTTTGGTTCACTCATAAACCTGTTGACCAACCCAACTCCATAACTGATATATGGTCTGCTATGACATAAAAATCTCAAAGATCCCACCATCTGCTTATACAAAGTGTTGTCCATTGCTTTCTCTTCATTATTCTGGAATAGCTTCACATTTGTCTCAGCCGGTGTTGATGCTTCATTACAATTCTCCATCTTAAACTTCTTGAGTATCTCTCTTGTGTATTTCCTCTGATGCAGAACTATTCCATGGCTGGTATAGGCAATCTCCATACCAAGAAAGTATGTTAGAGTACCTAAATCAGTCATCTCAAACTCTGATTTCATCTTCTCCTTAAAGCCTTCTATCTTTAGCAAATTATTGCCCGTGATAAGCAAGTCTTCTACATAGAGACACACAATCAGTAGACCAGCACCTTGCACCTCTTTTACATAAACACCAAACTCTACATCACACTTAGCAAAATTTTGTTGCAAGAGAAAGGTACCAATTCTCTTGTTCCATGCCCAAGGGGCTTGTTTCAACCCATACAGTGCCTTCTTCAATTTGTAGACCATATTCTCTTTACCTTCAATCAAAAATCCTGGCGGTTGAAGGACATACACTTCCTCTTCTAGTAGACTGTTTAGGAATGCTGATTTAACATCCATCTGAAATAGGGGCCATCCTCTTGAGCTAGCAATTGCTATTACCAATCGTATTGTCTCAATTCGAGCTACTGGTGCAAACACTTTTGTAAAATCAACTCCTTCTCTTTGTAGAAAGCCTTTTGCCACCAACCTTGCCTTGTGCTTGCCAATGGTTCCATCTGTTTTCAATTTCAGCTTAAAGATCCATTTTACCGTTATTGGTTACTTGTTAGGAGGTAAGCTAACAAGCTCCCATTTATGGTTCCTATTGATAGACTTTAATTCTTCAAGCATGGCATCTTTCCAAGCCTCCTGTTTCAAAGCCTCCCTAAAGTCAATTGGCTCAGTATTTACGTGTAAAGCAAAATGAACCAAATCTCCATCTGTAGTCACAGTATTGTCAGAGAATTGCTCATAATCTTTCATTCTTGTTAGCAAGCGTTTTGATCTTTGTGGTTTTCCTTGCCCAGGTTGCTCATCACCATCATTATAGTTAATGTCATCTAGCACCACTGAAACAGTTGACTTTTCTTTACTGCAATGTTTTTGCCAATCCCAACAGCTAGCCTCATCAACTATCACATCTCTGCTATAAACTACCTTTTCAGTAATAGGATCATAGAGTTTATAGGCACCAGTAGGATGATAGCCCACAAGGATCATAGGTTCACTTCTATCATCCACTTTCGTCCTTTTCTGCTCAGGAACATGCTTAAAGCATAAGGATCCAAAGATTCTCAGATTTGTTACCACTGGTTTCTTTCCTGACCAAACCTCTTCAGGAACCTTTAACCCCAATCTCTTTGTTGGACATCTGTTCAACACATAGCTTGCAGTGGTTACTACTTCTCCCCATAGAGAGTGTGGCAAATTCTTCTCTTTTAGCATACTCCGAGTCATGTCAAGAAGTGTCATGTTTCTTCTCTCAGCCATACCATTGTGTTGAGGTGTGTAAGGTGCTGTAATTTCATGTTGAATGTCATGTTCTGAGCAATAATCTTCAAACTCTTTTGATGTGAATTCCCCACCTCCATCAGTTCTAAGAATTTTATGACACTTCCCATTTTGTTTTTCAACAAAGGTTTTGTATTTTTGAAACATGGTGTACACATCTTTCTTCACCTTAATCAAGTAGATCCAAATTTTCCTGCTAAATACATCAACAAAAGATACAGAGTATCTGTTGCCTCTTAATGAAGGCACCTCAAAAGGACCACAAACATTTGAATACACTACATAGGAAAATCAATCACAAAGGAATTCCTGGGTTGCTTGCTGATGAGACAACCTTCACACACTTTCTCAGGGACATGGACGACAGGTAACCCAATCACCATTCCTTTTGCTCCAAGTTGATTCAAGCTTTTGAAGTTCAAATGTCCAAAACTTGAGTGCCACAGCCAACACTCTTGATCTATCTTTTCTGTAGTTAAGCATTGCACTTCAGCAGCTTGAATGTTCACTTGAAATGTTCTATTCTTGGCCAAAGGTGTTCTCAACACCAACGTTTGCTTCCTGTCAAACATTTCAAGAAATCCATTTTTCATGGTCACAGCAAAACCCTTCTCCACTGGTTGGCCTAAGCTTAGTAAGTTGCACTTCATCTCTGGCACATACAGTACATTTTCAATTACAGCATTCCTTCCATCTTTTCTTTTCACTATCACATTCCCTGTACCCTCAGCATTCACTATTCTATTGTCACCAAAACATACCTTGCTCTTTTTACTTACATCAAATTCAGATAGTCATTCTCTGTAGCCTGTCATGTGATTACTACATCCTGTATCAAGATACCATGACTCTTGATTAATAGCTTCATTACTAATAGTCATCAACAGTATCGGTTCTTCATCATAGTCATCTTGAATCATGTGAGCTTCATCATCATCTCCCTTTTTCTATTCTCCTTTGCTAAATTTGCACTCATCAGCAAAGTGACCTTTCTTTTGACAATTGTAACAAATAATCTTTCTTTTATCAAACTTCTTTTTGCCCCATTTATTTTTCTCGCTCCAACCACCTCCTTTTGAAGTTGTTGTACGTTCAATTTTAGAACCTTGTTATGTTTGCGAATCTAGCTTCTTCCCCTTTCCTTTCCACCATTTACTACTGTTCTTGGTTACCTTTGCCTGTAAAGCTTGTTCAACGACCTTGTTTGTACTTCTTTCATTAAGCCTCAATTCATGTGCTTCTAGGGAACCTTGAAGTTCTTCAATTTTCATGTTTTTCAAGTCTTTTGATTCCTCGATCGCAACTACAGTAAAGTCAAATCTTGAGAATAGAGTACACATCACCTTTTGAACAATCATTTTGTGTGAGATATCCTCGTCACACCCTTTCATTTGATTAACAAGACTCAAGATTCGGGTAAAATAATCGGCCACTCTCTCAGATTGCTCCATTTGCATCAGCTCAAATTATTTACGTAATGTTTGGAGTCTTACCTTCTTAAGCTTCTGGTTCCAGCATGACATTTTTCAAGAATATCCCAAGTCTCCTTTTCACTCTTTGCAATAGCAATTTTTTCGAAGTGGGCCCATCCACAAACCGATGAATAAAGAACATTGCCTTACAATCTCTTTTCTTGCATCAGTTAGATTCTTCTCAAGCTCAGGAACACCATTTTCCACTTTCTCAATAACTTCTTGAAAATCAAAGATTACCTTCATTTGACCACACCATATTTTCCCCGTTCTTCGCATCAAGAATTGATAGATTGCCAAGTAGATTTCTGCTGAACCCGTCATGATCGACCCCGTTCTAGATACCAGTTTATTGGAGAAAGGTCAGAAACGTAACCATTGTATTACAGAAAAGGAAGTTGTTAAACTTACGCCTCACACATATGTAGTTTGAATTACTACAAACACAATTCGTTACAAAACTCAATAATGCGCTTATTCACTATTACACCACACAATATGAATAATTGTTATTCTTCGTTAATTTTGAAAAGAAAAAAGATAGAGAACGTGAAGATTTTGAGCGTCGCTGAAGACGAAAGCGTGAAAACGAGGGAAGTAGTGGAAGAGAAAACAGCGTCCACGAAGAAGAGGAAGCGCAAGGGAACCTCTTCTGGTATTCGCATTTTCGTGCTTTATTTATACTATGCTATCTCTTGTATTTAACGTTTTGTATCTCCCTTCTGCCTCGGTTTTGTAAACGCACAAAAGAAACTGTTGCAGGATTCAACGTTTTTAGAAGTTCCACATCTGTGGCGCAGTCTAGTGGTGAAACGCAAGTTGATGAGGAGTCTATTGAGCTGAATAAGAAGAAGAAGAAGAAGGAGCAAAATCGACAACTCGAGGTTCTTTTTCTGTTTTGTGCGATATGCGTAATTCTCAGTGTTAATAAGTTTGTGCAATGGTTTCATATATGAATCTGTTTTCAGCGGGACGCGATATTCAGGAAGCAGCACAACATTCACGTTTCAGGTTATAATGTGCCGTCTCCGCTTCAAAGCTTTGATGAGTTGAAATCAAGGTATCTTTCATGAGAGTATTATGTTGTCTCGTTTCTGAGGGAATATATTGTATTCCGTTTGCTTCTCATTCTGGTCTTTTGTTTACAAGAAAGGGACGATTCAGAATCTTAATGAATTATTTGCAGATACAACTGTCCATCGTATTTGCTGCGCAATCTTAAGGAGCTTGGATTCAGAGAACCAACGCCTATTCAAAGACAGGCTATTCCAGTACTTCTAGATGTATGGATTTTCTATCAAGATACTGCTATAATTGTTTTCATTTGGTTTTCTGGTTTTTAGAAAATTGTTATAGAATTTTGATCATGAGTCATATTTAGTTTCTATTGTCCTTGGGTTAAGTATTAACTGAATATTTTCACATCTGTATTTCTTCAATTATTTGGGATAGGGTCGTGAATGCTTTGCTTGTGCACCAACTGGTTCTGGGAAAACCCTTGCTTTTGTGTGTCCAATGCTTATGAAGCTGAAGGTATTGCTTATTTTCTCCATCCATGTTTTGCAGTTCCCAATTTTCTGTGTACTTGGTTCATATATTCTATTATCCATTATGTTTTACAGGACCCTGAAAAAGGTGGCATTAGAGCTGTTATCTTATGTCATACCCGTGAACTATCCGCTCAAATATTTCGAGACTGCAAAAAGCTTGCCAAAAGAAAAAAAATTCGTGTCAAGTTAATGACTAAAAATCTCTTAAGAAATGCTGATTTTTCAAAGTTTCCATGTGATATTCTAATATCCACGCCACTCCAATTATAATTGGCTATCAAGAAGAAAAAGGTTGATCTCAGTAGGTGCGTGATGATGCATTCACTTTTGTTGATCTAAACTTGAAATTCTTGAAATACCGAACAAGTAATTATTACAGACTTACTATATAAGTATCTTTTATCGACAATTATTTTTATCTTAAATGTTTATTTATACGGTTATTATTGCTGTGTCACTCTTACACTGCAGTTTTCTGATCACAAATAATTGATTGAAGTATGCTTTATTAATTATCAATCAATTGCATACTTGATAGAAATGGTGTCCTGTAATGGGAAGTATGGTAATCTTGAGAGGGACATTTTCCTTTTAGTATTCATTCCTATTGATTGTGCTTGACAATTAAAGTGACATGGTCCAACTGGTGCTGGTGTAGCTTCAGTTTATAGATTATAATGCTTTAAGCATTACACAATTGTGCTTGATTCTTTTAGATGTGTCTTACAATTGTGTTTACAAAGTCAGTAGCAGCATCTGATGCAATTTATTAAATAGCTCATTAATGATATTGATTTTTTTCCTTTTTTATTTCTACCGACTACTTTGGGTGTTACAGAGTTGAGTATCTGGTCCTGGATGAATCGGATAAAGTTATTTAAGCAGATTGATTCTGTTCTCAAGGCATGCTCCAATCCCTCAATCATACGCTCACTGTTCAGTGCTACTTTACCTGATTTTGTTGAAGATCGAGCTCGAGAACTTATGCATGATGCTGTTCGTGTAATTGTTGGCAGGAAGTAAGCTCACTGCAAAACATTTGCAAACATGATTCGCCTGATCCTTAATACAATTTTCCTTCACGTTATTTTATATATAATGTCTAATGCTTTTATGTGGATCAGGAATATGGCCTCTGAAACAATAAAGCAAAAATTGGTTTTTACTGGAAGTGAAGATGGAAAACTTCTTGCAATTCGCCAAAGTTTTGCAGAGGTAAATGGCTAACTAATTCATTTGGTAATAACGCTGGTCTGTCCAATTTTCTTATGCTTCAAAAGTCAAGAGGTTGTGACTCACAGTTAAACATTAGTTGGTGTAGGTATGTTTAAAAATAAATTAGAATTTTCTCTAGAACTTACTATCATTATATATTTTCCTATTATTATTCTCTTTTGTAGTCCGATATTTGTTTTACTGATTGTGCACTGCATGTATATAATTTTAAACATTCTGTTTATTCTGGGTTTGGTGTTGTATAACATAATATATATAGACTTTGAATGTTGAATTCTGTATCACTTATCTTTGCTTAGCTTTGGAACTTGTAACAAGCATATAATATTGTGGTCCTTCTCCTCTGAGATACATTGGTATTTTTTAGTTGGTTGCCTTTGTTGACCCTTATATTTGCTGCACTGCAACATCTTGTAGAGTTTAAATCCTCCAGTATTGGTCTTTCTCCAAAGCAAGGAACGAGCCAAGGAGCTGTACGGTGAACTTGCATTTGACAACGTTAGAATCGATGTCATCCATTCTGATTTGTCTCAACAAGAGGTTGTTCTCTATCCCTTTGAACATCATAAGATATTTATGTGAAAATACGAAGAAAATCTGAAGCATTCCCCCTCCTCTCCGAAATACAGAACTGGTATGTGTCTGGTTTTAAATATTTGAATATAATATTCGCTGTGATTACTATTCGTTAATATTTCTGTTATCATTTCTGAATTCTGATCTCATACAATGTATGGCGAAAAAATGCCGTTGATAACTTCAGAGCTGGAAAAACATGGGTTTTGATTGCTACTGATGTAGTTGCCCGAGGCATGGATTTCAAAGGTGTGAATTGTGTGATCAATTATGATTTCCCTGATTGTGCCTCCGCATATGTCCACAGAATTGGTATGTGCAATTATATTAATGTTCTTTTTAGATTTGAGAAAAGATGTTTATAGGGATTATAGTTTTTATTATTCTCTCATGGAGACTTTTGTTTCCGATATCAACAAATTATTATTTGCTAATATATTTGTTTTCATTAGGTCGTTCTGGCAGGGCAGGGAGGACTGGAGAAGCGATTACTTTTTACAGAGGAAGACATTCCATTCCTGCGAAATGTTGCTAATCTTATGGCAGCATCGGGCTGTGAAGTTCCATCCTGCCTCATGGAGTTGCAGAAAAAAGAAGTGGAAGAAGCACCGGCCCAAAAGAGATTCAATCTCAACAAAACCAGACCTATAACAGCATAGAATAGAATGGGAACATGTGTATCACCCCGAAGTTTCCGGTTCCCAAAGTTTAAACCATGATTGTCGTGTCATATACAGTATCATAATGCCCTCCTCAGGCCTCATTGTAGTAGCCATCCGAACTGTTAACCCATATGCTATGGGATTTTTTGTGCCTCTTTATGTTGTAAACTTGGAATTTTTTGACCCCTAGAAGAAAGGAGATAATTATTTGTTAAATTTTAAGAATTCCTTTTTATTAACATTATTTTGTTGTGAGGGGTAATGCGGATTACTTAGTGTTAGATTTTTTATTCTTTTTTATATGCTTGAGCTTTCTCTAGTGTATTGGCTCTCACTATACTTTGTCTACATTTATTGTCCATACGCCAGGTCATGCTTTGCAATTTGTAGTACGCATTAATTTGTTTTGCATTTTGTTACAAAAAGAAGCCTAAACAGTCTTTGGCGCATGACCTGCAACTGTAAGAAAAATATAAGCAGAAATATTAATGAAACAATTTGACACAAGTTACACCCTGTTGTCAACCACTTTACTTTGTTTTACACTAGTTTTTTGCTAGTCTCATTTTAAGGGTTAACTAAATTGATCTGCAAATCCTGGCCAAATTATTCTTCAGTCGGTTTTGTTTGATTTATGGCTAGAGAAGGCCATGAAACACATTTAGAAAGTTAATCACTTAACAATATAATCGCTAATAATAAGTTAATCACTTTACAATATAATCGCTAATAAAAAATTAATCACTTTACAATATAATCGCTAATAAAAGAATAAATAAAATGTAAATGACGTTCAACTTTGATTGAAATGTAACAAAGCTAATAATCAAATCCAGCATTCGTCAATTAGAAAGTTTCAGTTGCCAAAATAATCATGAATATATGAAATAGGTACTCAGTGCAACCTAGATGTCAATAAATCACTCATAAAAAACAGCCAATTACTATAATATAAAATGGAAATAATGATAAGATTTTACATTTTAAAATTAAGAGTCACTGACTCATAAGATTAGTAAAAAAATCAAAATAGATTTTAGAAGGATTATAACCATTGGTGACTGCCTACTAAATGCTAATGCCTAACCTCTGACAAGGATCATAACCATGATCGAGCATCTGCAACCATACATCTTCAAGCATTGTGTAGATTTCGACCCTCTGTGAATGAGAACTATCTTCTGAAAAGAACACGTGGATCTGATCCTTAACTTCTATCCAACTTTGACCAGGAACCTTCTGTACACCCATTTCTTTCATCAAATTTCGTAGTCTGGCAACTTCTTTCCAATTGCCAGCAGAAGCATGTATATTAGAAAGTAGAACTAGAGCAGCAGAATTGCAAGGATCAAGTTTTAGTATATTTTCTGCAGCCCTCTCTGCAATGTCAACATTACCATGAGTTTTACAAGAAGCAAGTAGAGTTTTCCATGTAGTAATGTCAGGGTCCAATTCCATTTTCTTGATAAAATTCTCTGCTTCATACAAGCATCCAGCACGAGCAAGCAAATCAACCATGCAAGAAACATGCTCTCTTGTTGGTGCAATACCTAGTTCCACTTCCATGGTTTTATACAGGTGCCAACCTTCCTCCACCAATCCAATGTGACTGCATGCACTGAGAACCCCTAGATATGTGACCTCATTAGGCTGGACATCAAGATTTCTCATCATTCTGAAGAGATTTAGAGCCTCGTGTCCAAGTCCAAACTGAGCATAGCTAACAATTAAACTACTCCATGAGACAATATCTGGGTTCTGGGTTGAATCAAAAACATCTCGAGCTTGTTTAAGTGACCCACACTTTGCATACATGTCAATCAATCTATTGCTGACAAAAACATCAACTACTAGCCCACTTTTAACACTGAAGCAATGGACTTGATTCCCAACTTCAAGTGAAGCCAATTCAGCACAAGTTCCTAATATGGTAGTAATAGTAATATTGTCGGGCTTATTTTTAGAAAAAAACATTAGTTTAAATAATCTAAAAGCCTCTCCGGCATGTTTGTGCTGCAAGCATGCTGATAGAATTGCATTCCAAGAAACTAAATTGGCTTTTTTACTCAAATCTTTGAAAACACTGAATGCATCATGTAGATTTGAACATTTAGTGTACATTGTCAGCAAGGAGTTGCATACAGTTGTTTCCTTATCTAAACCTATTTTCATAATATAAGAATGCATTTGCATGCCTTGGTTAAGCGTCATAGAGCTCCCACAAGCACTGAGTAAGGAGAGAAAAGTAATGTCATCTGGCATCAATCCTACATGCATCATCTGGTAGAAAAATGATACGACTTCATTAGCATCACCACTATCAGAAAATGCTGCAATAATTGCATTCCATGACACTAAATCCGGGCTTTCAATTTGATTAAATGCCTTTTTTGCCGAAGATAAGAATCCAAATTTTGCATACATGTCACAGAGGGAGCACCCAGCAAAATTGTTCCTCCCTAAACCAAATTTGGCGCACACACCATGAATTTGCCTTCCAAATTCTGGTTCTAGAAGACTTCTGCATGCACTGAATACACTGCCAAATATAAATTCATTTGGTTCATAAACACCTTGCCTGAGCATATCTCTGAAAAGATATAAAGCTTCTATCTCATTACCAAGTTGAGTAAACCCTGTAATCATGGAAGCCCAGGAAATTAAATCCTTTGTGGGAATCATTGCAAAAACACCTGAGGCATGAGCAATTTGTCCAAGCTTTGTATACATTGAGATAAGAGCGTTTTGTGCAATTAAGTGATGATCATACCCTGATTTAATGACATGGCCATGCAGTTGTCTGCCTAAGTGTATATCCCCCACGATGCAGCAAGCCTTAATAATGCTGCCAAATGTTAACTGGTCTGGAAAATAACCTGATCGTAGCATTTGAATATACATGATGATGGCATTATTCTCTTGGCCATTCTGCATGTATCCAGAGATCATTATAGTCCACGAGACCACATTTCGCAGCTTCATTGCATCAAAAACTTTTCTAGCATCCTTCAAAGAACCACATTTTCCATACATATTAAGAATATGATTTTGGAGAACAAGGTCTGGCTTACACTTGGATTTTGAAATGTGATCATGGATTTTCTTGACATAATTTAGAGATCTAGAGTTGGTGCAGGCCAAGATTAGATTCACATAGGTGTTTGGTTCTAGCTGGATACTCGACTTCTTTAGATGGAAATTGAATGCATCAAGTGCTTCTTTGTAATTCTGTTGCTTGCACATCAAGTTGATGTAGCTGCTAGTTGATAACTCTGTACTGAGACTGCAGACAATTCTTGTTGATACAATAGGTCTTGCACAATTATATATACATTGAATTTGGCTTTGAATGATCATGGACAAGAGATATTTAAAGAGCAAGTGAGTAAAGTTCTTATTATTGAGAACCTTATTGGGTGATATGGTGTTAGGATAGTGAAGTGGTCATAAATAAAAAATCCATAGTTGGATGAACCCATTGGGAATACTTATGTAAAGTCGCGTATTGAATGTAAATCAAGAAAGTGCATTTATGGAGTAGTGCCATGGACTGTAGCCTCCATCTTGATCTACCCATCCCTGTCTACACGAATTAAGGAAAAAGCCAGCAGCCACAAGAGTTTGATGTTCTCTTGTAAGAAATTTCATTGCTCATAACAATGATATAAAAGTGTACTAAAAGAAGTCCACAAATCCAGGAATATCAGACCCTCGCCAGCAGTCAAAGATGTTCCCTACGTTGTTTGATTAGATAGACAAACAGACATGGAATTTCAGCCAACTCATCACCAAACCAAGTGGAGAGATTCTATCTGCTGGAACCAAACATAAGCATAAATTTTTTTGTACACGAGACATTGTTACAGAAAAACCAGAAACCCGTTAAATTGTGCAAATAACAAAACTCACATATTTTAATTTGAGGCCCTTTTTCGAACAGTTGGTATGCAAAAGAGTTTCATTCTAAAATTCGAAATGAATTTGTGTGGAAAAGTGAACTTTTTTTATAAATAATATCATTTAAAAAAATATCCCCCTGTAACATTATTTAACCATCTAGCACCTATTTACTGTTCATGTTTGGAATTCGGTTCCTATCAATTTACCTTACTGTCATGTTATTAATATTTATAAGATTGCAAGGTAAAATGAGTAAAATGGTCTCTAATTGGACGTTTCTATGAAAATTGTTCTACTCTGACTTTTTACAAGTCAAACTCATAAAACAAATAAATCAGGTAGCACATTAGATCTATCAAATACATATATACAAATAATTGCTTCACATTTTTCATCTTAGGTGGGAATAGTTCTGTCAAATACAAACCAATCAGATTCTTAATCACGTTTCTTAATCACGTTCTGTAGTCCTTTAATTCAAAACAAGCTTCATTACAATGTGTTGGGAGTTCAAGCATAAAATATGCACAATGGCGAGATGACTTCACCATTCATTATAATGGTTGAACCAATATTTCAAAAAAAAATTCACTAATTTAATTACATGACATAAATTAAAAAGTACATAATTGAGGGTTAGGAAATAATATTTCAACAGGTCCCTGAAAAATGTTATCTGATAAAAACGTGTAGTATATACGCAATTACGAATCTCACTCACTAGCATATTTCAAAATCAAAAGAAACACAACAGAGAAACGGAAACACAGAGAAGAGACACAAATGAAAGTATGAAAAAGTTAAAAACCTGGTGTTCAGTTGAAACGCCGAAGGTGCTTCCTGTGTGTGGCTGCAGCTGCGGACAGAATATAGGGCTAATGTTAGGTTTTAAAAGGGTTTCTCAAATGGCCCAACCCAGCCCAATCCATTTAAAATTTAACAGGCCCTACCAATTTGTTTTGCATTCAAATTAAAGTAAAAAACTAATGTATCCACTTACTTTAGAAAAAAAAATAGAGAGAGAGAGAGTTGTGTTGTGGAGATTTTAATTTTATTTTTTAATCAGAATTGAAATTTAATCCTAATAATTAATAATGATTTTTAACATGAACTTTTATCATGCTATCATTGAAGCAAAAGATTAATTTTAATTAAAGAATAGTATTAAAAGCATATAAAACATTGTACTTAAAGTTTTGTCTTTTTACTTGTTACATTATAGAGAAGTATAATAAAAAATAAATAAAATTATTATATACTTTTCAATATTTTATTGGTTGAGAAGTATTAAATTGATAATGGTATGCAAATAATATGTTATTTTTATTCCGTATTTTCAAATTAATATAAAAGTATTATGTTAAAAAACGGATAAACCATAACAAATTGTATTTCACTACACCCTCAAGATTACCGTTTTATTTTTTTATAACCTTTTTATTTATAAGACATGATGCCGATACTTCAAATTGGTTTCTTGTTCTGGAATAATTTGTTAGAATTAATTATTAATTCATTCTATAATGTAACTCATATGAAATATAATGATAGGTCCAAATGTGATTTAATAAATTATAAGGACCTATTAGTTATTACGTGAATTCAGAATAAAATAAAGATAAAATAAAATATTAACTTACTGTAACCAACTTGATGGACGTTGGTTAATAAAAGGGATTACGGTTCTGTCTCTGGCCATAAGGTTTTTTTCACGGTAAAATCATCAAGAAAGCGAAGCGTGAGAAAAGAAAGAAAAGAGATAGATTGGAAAAATGATATTGGAGAACGAAAAGATTGAAGAAAATATTCTCATGGATCAAGGTTAGTCTTCTTATTTCGATTCATGTATTAATGTATGTAAAATTGTGAAAATCAATAATCTAAAGATCCTGTAGAGTAGTTTTCTATAATGAATTAAGAACGTAGGAAAACTACGGAAAAATTTATATGTGGTATTAGAGCAATAGTTATTAGATTTATGATTTTCTTTTTATGAAATTTTTTCCTAAATTATGTTTTTCCCAAATTAAGATAAACCCTAATTATGAATTTAGGAATTTTTATCAAATTAATGTGAACCCTAATTATTCCCAAATTAAGATAAACCTTAATTATGAATTTAGAAATTTTTTATCAGATTAACGTGAACCCTAATTATTCTCAAATTTATTTTTTCTCAAAATTAAATAAATAGATAAGCCCTAATTTATGGATAAGGTTGTATTTAATTTCAAATTGAAATCAATTTGATAATTTATGTGTTTTAATGGTTATACAATCCTTTTAATTGAAAAGAAAATTTAGGCATTTTATGGTTTGGCGTCAATGCTCACGTAATAGTTTTTATAATGTAATTAATTTCTGCTGCAATTAATTAATGATGCAATTAAGTTGATGGGACCTGGGCAATTGAAACAATTCACCTATGGCTAATGCAAGAAAAACATACTTGAAATCAAGCATGTTTTCTTTTTGTCACTTTTCATTTATTTATGTTGCAATTGATTTAAAGTTCTTAATGAAATGTGAACACTGGATCAAGTGATGTGGCGGTCACTGGAGGTGTTTGGGTGATGGATTCAAAGAAAAAAAAATTGCATCCCGAAGACAAGGTCCTAGTGGGTCCGTGCTTGTTGAAGAGAGAGTCTTAATTAGGGATGCTCATTAGATTCGCTCTTCATGGGTCACAACCTCTCAAATGACTGGTTGACATTAAAGTATGCTAACACGAATGTAAGGGGACATGTCCTGGAGAACGTGCAACGCAATGAACCTGTCAAAGTGGTTGGGATGGTAGAATTAATTTAATTAATTTATATTAATAGTAATTAAAAATATTATTTTATTTGAAATTAAGTATGATAAATTTTGTTAGTCACCAAAGTGGCCAAAATTTTAAGGTTATTTTAATTTCAAATTATTAATGATTTTATTTCAATTACCCATAGTATGAATGCTAAAATTATGAATAATTGATTTATGGGTTAATTGAAGTTCATTATTATAAGACATTTTAGGATCACCCAAAGGTTGATTAATTGTTATTATAATTAATGAATATGAAAGTAGATAATTTTGTTCGCGTCACTAGTTTTATTTAAATACTCAAAGTTATTAGGTGATTTTAGTTGATGCATATTTTAATTATCATTAATGTTATAAAAAGTTTAGCGTAATTATGTTTGTGTATTGGTGGATCTCCCAAAGGAGAACATTGGTATGCAGAGAATGGTAATTTATGGTTGAATCTGTATTTATGTTTAATTTTATGACTCAAAGTATTAATGTTAGGCATGTGTTAATTGCAGTATCTGTTCCTGTAGCTCTGCATTCGCTATCTTCGTTTGTTCCAGTCTTTAATGTGTTAAATTTCCCTGACTGGAGTGAACAAGTCCAATTTCACTTAGGTGTGTTGGATCTTGATTTGGCTTTCCAAGTTGAAAAACTGGCTGCTATTACTGATGCTAGTAGTAATGAAGACAAAACTCATTATAGAGTTTGGGAAAGATCAAACAGACTTAACCTTATGTTTATGCGAATGAGTGTAGCAAGCAATATTAAGTCTGCTCTTCCCAAAACTGAGGATGCGAAAGAGTTTATGAAATTTGTGGAAGAGTGTTCTCAAACTGCTGACAAATCCCTCGCTGGGACATTGATGAGTATGTTGACCACCATGAAGTTTGATGGTTCTCGTAGTATGCATGAATACGTAATCGAAATGACAAATATCGCAGCAAGACTCAAGTCTCTTGGAATGGTAGTGGAAGAAAATTTTCTTGTGCAGTTCATTTTGAACTCGTTACCGCCTGAGTATGGTCTGTTTCAGATGAACTATAACACCATGAAAGACAAATAGAATGTGCATGAATTGCACAGTATGTTAGTTCAGGAGGAGACCAGACTCAAGAACCTAGGAAGTCACTCTATTCATTACGTGAAAATCAAGGAGCTAAAAAGAAAGTTGTTAAGAAACATGGAAAGGGTAAATGACCATTAAAGATTAACGAGTCATCTACTAACATTCAGAAGAAAAATGACAAATGTCATTTCTGCGGGAAGTCTGGACATTTTCAGAAGGACTGCTTAAAGCGTAAAGCTTGGTTCGAAAAGAAAGGTGAGCATAGTGCTTACGTATGTTTTGAATTAAATTTAACTGAAGTTCCCCATAATACTTGGTGGATTGATTCTGGATGTACGACTCATGTTTCTAATGTGATGCAGAGATTCCTTTCAACCCGAACCATAAACTCAAATGAGAAGTTCGTCTTCATGGGGAATAAAGTCAAGGTTCCAGTGGAAGCTGTCGGGACTTATCGTTTAATCCTTGACACTGGATATCACTTAGACCTTATGGATACTTTTATGTACCTAGTATCACTAGAAATTTAGTTTCTTTGTCTAAGCTTGATGTTGCGGGATACTCTTTTAAGTTTGGGAATAGTTGTTTCAGTTTATTTAAGCGTACATGTATGATTGGAACTGGTACACTTTATGATGGTTTATATAAATTGAACTTGGATAATTTATATGCTGAAACTCTCATGACCTTGCATCATAATGTTGGCACTAAACGTAGTTTGGTGGATGAAAGATCTACTTATTTGTGGCATAAGCGTTTGGGACATATCTCCAAAGAAAGAATGCAAAGATTAGTAAAGAATGA